TTTATTTTAAAATATTAAAATTATTTTATAAATAAATATAATAAAAAATTAATTTAAATAAAAAATAAAATAATTCTTAAAAGTATTTTTGTTAATTTTTTTGTTTTAAAAAAACTTTTACTTAATTTTTTTTTTATGTTTAATATATAGGAGTAAATATTTTTTCTTTCTTAAATAATGTCTTTATTGGTCTAATACTTTTTTAAATTTAAATAGTAATGTTGTAAGTTTTATTTATTTTTATCTCTTTTGTTTTAATTCTTTATTATTATTTATTAATTTCTTTTGGTTTAAGTTTTGTGACAAGTTTTATGAAAGTAGTATAAAGTCCGATGTATTTTTGTCATCATTATTTCTTTTTATCAAGTCTTCGTACATTTTACAATACTAAAATGGAAAATATAAAATAACAAAAAAATAGTTTTTCAAAAAACATCTTTTTATAAAGAAAACTTTTCCTTTAATAAACAATAATTAGAAGATGATTATGAGTTATAAAATATAAAATAATAATAGTGCAAAATCCAGGATTGAAAATTGGGTTAAGGAAGCGATCTGACTAGACAGGGAACTATCATAGGAAAGTGTTGGGAAAGATACGATGTGGTCTGGTGACTGACTCAAACAGGCTTCGAAATAGAAAAATGAAAAAGTCAAACATTTACATTTTATTGCCATTAAGGAAGTTTTGGTTTCCTCAAAGGAGTCAGAATTCTAACGCATGCTTTTACTTCTTTTGCCCCATTTTATTATTGCTTTTAATGCACAAGTCCTCCATAGTATACTACTACTCTACATGCACCATTTTCAATTCTTTTTTTATTCTCAAAAACCAATAATAACCGAATGAAAAATTGAATACCAAGACCAAACCCCAATAATAAAAATGTTAATAATTCACTCTCTTTCACAACCCCCAACTCTCCCAATCTTTGACCACTTCCACCTTTTTCTCTCTGTTTGTGTTTCTCTGCCACCATGGAAGATGATGAGACATGCATCACAAATCTAAGCCTTGGACTTGGAATGAGAGGGCATGTCCCAAAGAAGGAGAACCAGAGAGTGCCATGTTTGAACCTTACCTTTCACCTTTCTCCTAAAGGGGAAGAAGCCATTCACATGGTGGATCAACAACAACGTGATGATCATCATGATAAGGCAAAAGGGTTTTGTTTGAAACACCCAAATGAAATTAGTCCTGATGATAGCAACAATAGAAAGAAATTGAAGCTCACAAAAGAGCAATCAGCCACGCTCGAGGACATCTTCAAGCTTCACACCACTCTTAACCCCGTATTAATTCTTTCTCAACTCTCCTTTCATTTTCAAATCTTCATATCTATTTTTGGTTAGTTTTCAATTTCATGGAAGCTAATTAAACTACATGCTGAATTTGGCACTAGATTATGATACAATACATATCTGATTACTATCACTATATCATAATCAGTATTTATGTTTATTTTTTATTAGAAATTTAAGGGTTTGGATTGTAGCCAGGAAGTGTTTCATTAAAGGAAAATCATTTATGTGTTGGTTTTGGTTTCACATGCAGGCACAGAAACAGGCACTTGCTGAGCAATTGAATTTAAAGCATAGACAGGTTGAAGTTTGGTTTCAGAACAGAAGAGCAAGGTATGGTGTGTGATAGTATCATATGGTTGGTTTAATCTTATCCTTTCACGAGTTTCAATTTCTGAGGAGTTCAGTTTTGGTTTTAGTTTTATCTCATCATAACATTTAATTTTCATTATTTTTCGGTTCGTTTCTTATCTCAATTTACCATGAAAAAACGGACCTTTTTTATTAATATTTTTCTGTTGACTTGACTATGCTAATAAACTAACTGTTATGTTGACCTTTCAGGACCAAGTTGAAACAAACAGAAGTGGATCGCGAGTTCCTGAAAAAATGTTATGAGAAACTAACCAATGAGAACCTAAGGCTGAAGAGGGAATTGCAAGAGCTTCGTGCACAAAACATTGGAGCAACCCCAATGTACATTCAACTCTCCAAGGCTAAAACCTTGAGCATTTGTTCATCTTGTGGGGAATTATTGAAGCCCAGTGAAGAGAACAAAGCAACCATTTCCAAGGTGATCAGAAACAGCAAACATAAATTGCAAACCAAGGTTGGGTTAGAGGGTATAATGAACTCATAATTTGATGAATTGGATAGTGGAATGTCAGAACAGAAAAAAAAATAAAAAATAAAATAAACAGTACACATTCTCAGTCCCCACATCGAATAATATGTATAGCTGTGTAGGACTGCGTGCAATATAGGGTAGCTAGATAGGAGATTGTTAACTGGGTGGCTCATTTTGTTCATTCAAATACAAATTAATCGATATTAACCCCACCATTATTTGCTTTTTTTCTTTTGTGCTTAATTTGTAACATTTTTTTTGCTAAACCTAGTAGTGTCTACGGACAAATATACATATACGTGTTTGAATGATTGAAATTAGAATGTGACAAATCTTACTACTAAAATTGGATACTAGCTAGATGCCTTATTTATTTGTTTATTTTAATTTATCTTGAAAAAAAAATATTTTTCTTTAATTTTTTTAAAGAACTTTAAAAAAATAATTATTTTTTCAGAACACACTGTTACCAAATATTATTGGGGAAGAGTGTAATTGTTTTATGAATCTGAATAGAATATATTAATAGTCTAAAAGATTTTATATTGTTATTTAATGATAGAATATTATATACTGGTTGACTGTAACGATAACTGCTCTAAAAATGATATTTAAAATATTTTAATGAATTACTCATATATATATATATATATAAATTTTGTCAACCATGATTTTTTTAATAAACTTAATTAGTTATTTTTAATAGAATTAATATATCAAATTTTAATTGTTGTATCTATATGTACAATTTAAATTCACAATCTTGATTAAGCAATCCAAATTTAATTATATTTTGCACTAAGTAATGTTAGAACGGATGGTAACTATATGAAATTAAGATTTTGTTTTATATTAGTTTGCCATGACGTGAAAGATGGGTATTGACGTTGAAATCTTAATTATATATATATATTTTTTTTGAAAAGAAAAGAAAAACTATCCGAAGAAAGAGGAAAAACATATAGATAAGGAACAAGGCACTGGTCTGGTCTATATGAAAACACGTTTTAGATATATTTTTCTTAATATTATTTGTGGTAAGGAAATTTTCTCTCCATTGTCTGGTTGATTAATTTATAATGCCACTAATGTAATGTAACTTAAGACACACTCCTCTTCATGGTCATTATAATTATTAAAATTATTCAACCAATTAAACCGTAATAAAAAAATCTTGTGCGTTTAGAAAACGTGTTTAACAAACCGAAATGATAATTGAAAAGAAGAAGAAGAAATTAGAATGTTAGATAGATTATCATTAATGATTAATTATAATCTCTCAATGATGCTAATAACCTATATCTTTAATTAAATATTATATCGAATTGGTCAATTGTCTTGAGAAGTAACAGTTTTGGTCTTTGTCTGTCTCTTTCTTCGTGTGCTTTGATTAGTCAATGGACCAACACACATGTGTTCACAAATCACAATCCATTTGGGGAACATGAAAGTGTATTTGACAAATCAAACGAGTAAAGACACAATCCATCTTCCTAGCAAGTGCTAATATTTCTAATCCATTATGACATTATAATACAATACGTCATGCAGAATAATAATATAATAGAAATGATAATTTTAAATTTTCCCACAATATCATGTTATTTATTATATAAAAAAAATTAATAAATAATTTTTTTTTATATTTCTAAGACATTAAATGTATTTATTTATTTTAATAAAATATTATAAGGTAGCAATAATAATATATATAATAGAAAAACTGAAAGCCTGTTTCTCCGAGTTACACAAAATGGAATTAGATTGTACACCCACACTAATCCATTGCTTGAATCACGTTGAACGGGACAAAAAAAATAATGGATATTTCTGATTTTCTTTTAGTAATAAGTCTATTAGTGAATTAGGGAGTATACTGATTATATAATATTTATAACTATATTAATAAGAAAATTCAAACTCTTTTTTGAATAATAATAATAATGATTTAGGTTAAATTAAATTATATATATATATATTTAGTGTAACTTTTTTTTTTATAATAGTATCACACATATATTGTCACATTATTCAAATATATTTTATTTTCCAATGTAAATATTAAAGTTATACGTATCATACTATTTTATAATTGACCAAAAAATTATTTTCAGCTGTTAATTAGCAAAGTATAAGTTATACCAAATTTTCTTCCTATAAATAAACTTATACCAATTTAATCTAATATTTGAACAAAGTTCAAAAGTGATGAACCATTAATGTATGTATGTTGATTCTATTTTCGCTATTATCATGTGAATTCATGACTTATAAAATTAATCAATGACAGTGACAAGTCACTTTTCACACGTTTATTTATTTATTTATTTATTATTATTACAAGAAGAAGAAAAAATAACTAAACAGACTTTTTTTATTCCTTGATTGTAAGACATACATTTCAATGTACATTGTGCAAAATATTTGTAATTAATTTTAAAAGTTGTTTATTTATTTTTGGATAAATATGAATCTAATCCGGCAGTTCTAATACATTGACAGTGACATTGGTCGAGAATGGATCAAGAGATGTTAAAGTTTGGTGAGTGAATTCAATTTATCATAGGTTTGAATTATCATAGATAAGAAAAAAAATAAAATAAAATTGGTTCATTTTAATTATCAGAAAAATTATCTTAATTCACTTATAACTCATGAGTTAATTTGTGATCAGTCGAGTTGGTTTCTAGGTTGATTTATCTAATACATATTTTTTAACTTTTTTATTTTTAAATATTAATTTATTGATTATATATTTATATTATTAACTAATATTATATATATATATATATATATATATATAAGAGATACAAAATAATGATA